ATTCACCTTGATAATATCATTGATAATTTGGCAACTACATCCTCGCTATTACTACCTCAAGTACTTTTATTAATCTCAGTAAAAGTGGATGTTTTCTGATCAGTGACCCGACTCGTTCACTCATTAAGTCTGATTTAAATGTCGTTCTGTCAACCGTGGAATCAGAAGTCCTATCACTTTCAAATTGTCTAGTAGAAGAACCAGCGAGTAGTTTTTCTAAAAGTGACGTTCGCTTAATATCATACGTTTCCCACCATTCTTTAAAACAAGATCTTAGATATCAGTTTTGCGGTGGTGACTGCACCGCAAATGACGAACCACCGTTGACAATCCCTAATAGGCGGTACGAGTACGAGTGATTATGAGTTTACTGCAAGTTTGTCCTGTTTGGCTTCGTATGTTTGTCTTTATTATCGAGGATTTCGATCTTCTGCGAATAACTGGACTGACAGAATGACTTAAGTGCGCCGAGCCCTAGGATCCACTCGCGAAGTTCAGATTTGTCAAAATTCAGTTTGTCATAAGTTGAACGTCTCTGATTTGTGACGTCCACTGTATTCGCACATTTTTAGCACCTTTGCTACAAAGCACTAATTACTGTATCGTAGAAGGAACAATTTATCTACAGAAGCACATCGTCTCTAATTCATTCCTCCGTGTTATATCCTGACCGACGCCTGTCGTGATTCGGCCCCTTCGGCTCCCGTACGAGGAGCTTGCGGGATAGATTAATCGGTTTATGACCAGCAGATTTGCCTAACGGCGTCTACCTCACTTGCATTATCTCTACACTCAGGTCATTCATTTAACTGGTACTGCCACTGAGCCCTCACTATGTGTCGAAGTCAATGCTGTTGTCTCAAATTCAACCGTCGTTCTTGCTCATTCGATGCCGCACATTAATTTTCACCTGAATACGCATGGTACCGGCAGATTTTCATGGAAAGAGTAACTCCTATCTCATCCCAAATAATGGACAGGTTTCGAAAAGTACTCGACGCTGTGACTATCCTCCTATTCTCTCTAGTTGGATAGTGTCATCGCTGGAGATTGTGGAATCGAGGTACTTCATTTTGTTAGCAGTCTGTGCCGATGAACCTCTTTATTCCATTGGGTGAATTGTTGTGCCCGGTGAGAACTTCATGACTTTTTAGATCTAGGAAATAAGGCAACTTTCGCATCTGTGTTACTTATTCAAGCCGTCACGTAACAGACCCACTCATCGTACTACTAATCAACACAATATCATCTGTGTACTCCGGATCATGCGGGAGTATCGAGAACAATGCCGGAATAACATACTGGATATCGAGAACATTGTTGAATAGCAAAGACAAATGCACTCTCCTTGGCTAACTCCATCCACAACCATTCAAATAGCTCTCTTTCGACACTGACAGAACTCATGGTTCATGCATGCATCTCTTCCAAAATAGAAACGATGATTTTAAGCAATAGCGTTTCAAAATTTTCTGCAAATGCTTATGTACCGAATCAGATGCAGCCTACAAATGAGGATCGTGGCAAACCAAAGCAGGTCGAGTCGTCGAAATTGTCCAGCGTGCCTAAAAAAGAAAATTCATTTGGGATGGGAGGGGGTACACTATCCCGAATCCTTCTTGATTTTGGCGAAATCTCCCATCGATAATTCCTCTCATCCATTCCAGAAGAATAGTTTCCCGGGAGTTAGCAGTAGTTTGATACCACAATGATTAAAACGTTCGGTTGCCTGACTCCATTTAAATATATGTACAACCTCTCCACGCTTCCGTTCTCCTGGGAAATGTTTGGAAGTTAATATTTGACGAAAGAATGCACGAAGCTTCTGAGTCATTCCTTTTCTCTATAAATACCCAACTTTTGGGAATTCTCTCTACCTCCAGACCTTCTTAACCTTGAAATGCAAACTTGATTATCCATCTGCCAATCAAGCTTTTCCTGACTGGCCACCTATCGTGCAGGTCAAACGTCCCCTTCGCAAGACGAGAAGCATCCTTGTCCGCCAATTCGCCGAGTCTGTAACGGCGGACCATACGACAGACACTGTCCAACTGATCCAGCTGAGCCAAACAAGGCAATACACGCAATGCAAGTTTTTAATACGCCGTAGTAAGCCGGTGTTATGAAAGTTAGACCATTATAAAACATATGATTAAAATCCCCTGACATGATTTCCGATGTATTGGATGGATTCAAAACAACAAGAAGGCTTCTGTCTCAAATCGGTAATGAAGATGAACGGTGACTTTCTGAAGAAAGTTGAATAACAACTCTTCTTCCAGAAAGCATCACGTTTCTCCATGCTCTCTTCAGAGTTAACGTGAACCATTGTTCCACTTCCTGTCTTCTGGATTTCGATTATACACAGTTTTTTTTGTGAATGGATTTTATCTGAAGGCATTATAGAAGAAAAACGTTGTATTGATTGCCGGATTCATTGATTGATTGATGTTTTTGGATCGTTATTTAAGACTAACAGAGTTACCCAGTATAGAGTTATGATTTTTGACCTTAAGCAACGTTATTTCAGATTATTATTTATTTGCTGATGCGGCAAAGGATATATTGATCGTCATCAGCGAGATTAACTAGCTACATTAGGAAGATCACAGTTTAAACACTAAACTAATTCGTAACTTATGCATTTTCTTATTTCTTGCAACCAAAACTGTTCAGACATACAGTGCAACAACGACGTTTTGTTTTCCATTGAAGTGACTCTAAATGCTCTGATATTGTTCAAATGAAAGTGATAGGTTTCTTAACAGTGCGACAAGAAGAGCAGTCTGCAACTCGAAACTATGATTTCGCTCAACTGTAAAACGCAAACAGTGATTGATATGACTGTTTTGACGATTGTATGATGAAACTGATTGTCGAATTCTCTCGACTACTGTTTAGCCTTCGCTTGTGAAGTATTCTTTTCTGATAATTTTTTTAGATTTCTAAATAGCGGTTATTTGAAGCAATTCGGTAGAAACAATATATACTTTTCGTTTTAGAAACAATGCATCGACTTCGTTCTCAATGCGAAACCTGTCTCAAGATATATGCCGGAAGACAAAGACTCTATGAAATATCACATTTGGAAAATGGTTATTTCCACCCCGTTTGAATATTTCATCATGGTCATGATATGTCTAAACACGATCATTCTTATGATGAGCGTACGTTACGTGTAATAAAGGACGTCTCATGCTGGTTTCTTCTTTCAGTACTATCAAGAACCGCCTATGTACCGCGCTGTCATTCGTTACCTCAATTCGACACTCACTGCGGTATTTACGGTGGAGGCCATATTTAAAATAATCGCCTTCGGTGTCCGGGTAAATATGTCTTTGCCATTTTGCTGCTAATTGATCAATCAAGTAGAAAGATCGGTATTAGCTGGTTCTCTGAGTCATGCAGTAGAGTCTGCAGAACACTGGAAAAGTGACTGACTAGCCTAGATAATGAAACGCTCGTAAACATGAATTGGAACCTCTCAATTAACCCTTCAATTTCTGCCTCGCACGTATTACGATATTAGATTAGTACAAATCTCAAAATTGTCTGCTGATTGAATTTTGAAAACCGCTCGACTGTATATATCAACAGTCTAGAAAGAAGCATCTTCAGTCCATGCGCCACATCTTGCCTCGAAACTTCCGGTATTAACCTGAATTATAATCGGTTTCGGTTGGTTTGTTGCTTTGAAGAATTGCTATCGTCTTCGAATGGTGCTTACTTGCTTTAAACAGTTTTCTAACCTGATTGGTCAATGCTCGCATCGAAATGGTACTAATGAATGGAAAAGGTCTCCTGAAATTATTTCGCTCCATATCGCCCATCAGCGCTTTCAGTCGGCAAGTGAGAAACGGACATAATTTGATTTCTAATTCTTGTTGTCTGTATATATTACTCGGGCGATATTCCCCTGTCGTTTAAAACGGTACATGCAGCTTCCCGAGCTTCATCGCATGTGGGCTATGTATAACTTTTTTCAGAACTATTTCAAAGACGGTTGGAACGTTTTTGACTTTATCACCGTTATTGGCAGCATAACAGATGCGCTGGTTACCGAATTTGGCGGAAATTTTGTTAGCCTCGGATTCCTGCGGCTGTTCAGAGCTGCCAGGCTAATTAAGCTTCTGCGTCAAGGCTATACGATCAGGATACTGCTGTGGACTTTCGTTCAGTCATTCAAAGTGCGGTGTAAAATTGCACCGATTGTTGCCGTGTACATTTTTATGTACTTTTCAGGCATTGCCGTATGTCTGCTTGTTGATCGGAATGCTCTTCTTCATATACGCCGTTGTTGGAATGCAGGTAAGCGTTGGAACTGATCAATCAGCCGCCGCATCGATCTGTGGCCAGTATCTTGCATCAACTCCTATGAATTATTTATTTTTGCCTCTTCTCTTCATCTGCTAGCAGATCGAAATGGCTCACCGATTTATTGACAGATTAAGCTAAAAATGTCTTTGTAGGTCTTTGGCAATATCGAACTTAACAGTGACACAGAAATCAACCGGCACAACAATTTTCAGACCTTCTTCAATTCCGTTATACTTCTTTTCAGGTAAGCGTGTATTGTTAATTTGCATGCCGCAGCTTGAGTGATCGGCCTCTATATATATATATATCTGGATATCGAGATGTAAGAACCAGTTTCTGGATTATTATCCTGGACGTCAGTTTTTCGTTTCATTTAAACAGTGCATCTACAGCAAGCCCGGCTCTACACCATTCGGCAAAAGATGGAAATTCATGACGACTCTAATTGTAAATGCTGTTGTCCGGTATTTCGCCGGCAATTATTGGGTCGTGTTATAGTGGGTGATGATTCGAGACGGTGCTTCGTTAATATCTATAACGCCTTGTATTCCGATGCTTTTCTATAGTTTGTTTTTTACAGCCTTGTAATAGCTTTCACATAAAGCAAGCCTGTTCGCTCTCTTGGGAGATATTGTTAAATTCGTCCACTTAATGCGAACAAATGGTATTTCATATAAACGCCTGCAATTTTCTGATGTTAGTTTTCAACACCCTTCATGGTGA